TCTTTCACCCTTTACCCTGACAGGCTGGGTTTGTCAGCTTATCAGTCTGGCTTATTCCTCCCTGTCTCCTTCTTTAAGAAGTCGTTTTCCAGGTCTTCCTTTGCAAGAGATTCTTCAGTTGGGCATGTGGACTACCCTCATATGTTCATCTCCCACTACCTTTAATGGGTGGCCATTTCTTTCTCGTACAGGTACTGCCTTCTGCCTGCCACCATACTTCATATGTTGGTTTGACTGTGACTCGATAAGTTTGCTTTTCCTTTTCTGATTGTGGATTTGCACACACGTGCCCTGTTTAGTTGGATGGTACAAAGTTTATCCCTTCTGTCTCCTAAACTTGAGGTGAGTCAGATTATACATACCCAATGCATCTGGTTTTGGACTGAAGTTGACCTGTCAGGTTCAGTCTGATATGTTCTGGCCATTCTACACCATGGAGCACCATGGTTATGCTTTCTGGAGATTTCAGTGGGATGTAGAGCCAGATCAACTTGTCTTTTCTATCCAATCATAGATATGCCCCTCATGACTTCCACCCAATTTTGTGACACTTACTACCACACTTGACGAGGAGTATACCTGGTACAGAAATGGTGCAGTCTTCAACGGGTGTTCCTGTCTTAAAAGATGTCATTCTACATGGGTGTTCTTTGGGTGATTTCATAGGATGCTCCTCTATATCCCTCCACCTTTTCAATGTGGGAGTCTAGCTGTTATGTCAGAGAAGGTAAGGTACTGTATTGGAAGTTATTTTCCTGAAATGAAAATATATTTCTGATAGCTACATACCTCCTCTCACATTTCCTATCGTTTCACTTCACTACTGGTGCATATTTTCTGCCTATTCTGTAAGTGATTGTGAGGCAAAATCGATTAGAGGGGGTAACCTGCATCAGGAGAGTGTGATGCATGATAATTTGCACACGAAGATGCAGTAGACCATATTTATTGTGGGGTAGATGGGAGTTTCAAGGTTAGTGATGAGCAAAAAGTTTTGCATATAGAGGGGAGCACTGCACAAGAAAAGCTGTTATGTGAAAGAAGGTAAGTACATATTGGAAATATATTTTAAGTGAAGGAAAATAACTAATTAATTGGGCAATAGGAATAAATATAGTAAAGATCAATAGTTGATTATTTTTGTGACAGTCAATTAAATTGTAATTTTGATTAATTGATTATTTTCATGACAATCAGTATAATTAGATTAATCAATGCTTGTAATTATCAGAAACTCTAATTTCGATTAATCAATTACTTTATGTGAAACTAATCAGTCTAATTGCCACTCGTAGGTATTTGATTACATGAATTGATAAAATTGTCCAGCTCTAAAAACAATTTGGGCTAACTTTTTGTTTTTTCAACAACATAAACCTAAATTATGTTTGTCTGTGGTTTTAACGCACAATGCAATAAACATCAGATTATTTAGCAAATGGTAAAAACTATGTTATTGTAATTTAAACTTTTTCAGAGCTGTTACTGTGTCTTTCCACATGGAATAAAAACTCAGTTTTTCATTCTGGATATCTGGTAACCCTAGGTATGGTGCATATAAATTATTTACAATTACTAGTTCCCCCTGTGTGTGTTGATTGAAATGCTATTTGGGCAACTGTCTAGAAGAACTTCAACATATAACCCACAAGACTTATGGGAAGTAAATATGTTATAAGAAGAAAAAATAATGCATATTTGTTAAGATAATTGATATGAAATTTAAAAAAAAGAACTTAAAGTAAGTTAGTTCTTTATTTTATAGAATGCATGAAAAACATTCACTGATTTGATGATAGTATGCTACAGTGCAGTGTAAAGTTTAAAAAAAAAGGTATTTGAAAAAAAATCCCACTTATTTACCCTAACATAGAATTATTACTATTATTATGACTTAATGTATAATGACAAATAAACATGTAATAAGGATAGAAAAGTGTTGGATTGGCATTTTATTGATTTGCACTAGAATATTATTGTGTACAAAGTAATAACTAATTTTATACCAATGATAATCTTATTCTCATCTACTTCTAAGAAATGAAGTGGCACATGCCACTAAGTTTATTGTCTCTTTGTACAGTGTAGATGCATGTAAATATCCTTGTTTTGATCACCTAAATATAGTTGTGTACATTCTATTCACCACCATGTGGTTAATTGGCTCGATGTAGTTGTGTTCATGTAAAATCATAAACTCAATCCTAAGAATTAAATGTATGTAACTTATGTTATCCTGCATCTACTACTAATCTCACTAGTCACTGTCATTTTTAATATTTTTGATTTATAATAAATGTCCTAGAGTACTAAGAACAAAATAGATTTTGTTTAAATTAGTAATGTTTATTTCTGTTAAGTAATAGCCGAACTGTTATTTCTGAATCTGTTTTGAATATTATTTCATAATGTATAAGCTTCTTTTATCTACTATTATGTATTTCATTATTAATTCACCTGCAAAGAAAAAGTTTTGTTTTTACTTGTGAACCAATGTTGTTTGATATACAAGGCTGTTTAGTTTAAGAGTTATTATTTAGTTTTCATAACACGAGTTAAGTTTACTGATTTTAGAAGCAATAGTTAAGGCAAGTTTGCTTATGTAACTGTTTGCAAATAATTTATCATGTAGTTCAGTTGTTGTGAATTGACGTCATATTACTCGAACCTTATGAATTGTTCTTGTTGCTTTAAGTGAGTATTGTTGCATCATAACATCTTATAGTTTATTGAAAGTTTGAGGCCTCAGTTGGGCAAGATATAAATTCATGTCCAACCAAATTAGTAAGAAAGTTAGTTAAGTTAGTGAAAGTGAAAGTTAGTAAGTTAAAGATATAGTCAGATATATCTATATTGTGTGTTTGTAAGTTTATGTATAAAGAATGCATAGTGGAGACTTAAAGTATTATAATTGCAGATTGTATAGTCATAAACAAGAGTAGAGAAGAATAACTTGTCTTTTCTAAGGGTGTTCTAAATTATTTGAACACGCTGTGTGGACTTTGACAAAAAAAAAGAGACAATTATTTAAAGTTCTGAATACAACTGTGATAACTAATAGTGTAACAAATATTTTGGACATACATTTGAATTGTTTTGAATATATTATTTTAAAACAAGTGGATTGTGTGCTGTCCATTTATTTTTCAAATTTATTACCAATAAGTCACAGACACCTGCTGTTCAGAATCTGACCCTATAAAACCTGACAAATGTGATAGTATATTTACTAAGAACTTCTGCCTTTATACCTTATTAAGCTAAGTAGTGACATCTCAAGAGGTAAAAGCATCTACAATGACTAAACTGCTCTAAAGATATACATTATAAGAAAAAATTGTGTAAAATATAGGATAAATGTTATAAAATAATTGACCAAACATGTTTTATGTGTTATTGTATTGATTTTGACAAAATAATGAAGATAAATTAGTTAATTTGTAAATAATTTACAAAATCTGTATATATATTCTGGAAATAAAGATAGAATTGGTTCTGTTATGCCCTTCCTCTTGTAATGTTACCAAATGCTTGTTAGGATTTATTAACAAGAATATAAACAATTTTTAAGAATTTTATATGATATGAGACATTTAGCAAATGAAGATTATTGTGTCCTTTCTTTTCTTCAGACTGAAGAATGTAGTGACACCTCTATGGGAGAAAGACTATCAGGAACAGTTAAAACTAAAAGAATCCAACCTCCATGGAGTTTTAGTGAAGTTAGGAAGAAAAATTGAGAAAATCAACCCTTCTCTTTTGCCATGGCTACAAGAGCAACGGTAAGTAGTCAAATACATTTCAATGCCATTTTGGCACACACATCTGTGCCATTTAAGAATTTTGCTTTTATACCATAACTTTGTCTATAGCAACAATTTTTATTGTATGAGCACCTTTTCTAAGCTGGGGAATCCTGATATTGTGAATTATACCTGCATAAGACTTTAGTATTAGGCCTATTATATTTTTAACACTACATTCTTTATCCCTAAGGATTTTGTCAAGAAGAAGAAAAGTGTATAATAGTATTTCAACCACACTGTTTTAATAATGCATTTCAATCAATACAGAGCTCTTCAGGCAAGCTGGGATACGACAAAAATTGTTGTGGTGTGAACACCTTTTCTAAGCTGATGAAGCATGATTATTTATTATACTTATCATCAGACATGACTTTTAGGTCTATTATATTTTTTAACACTAGTGTTAAAAAATATAAGACCTACAAGTTATGTCTGATGACAACTATAGTAATACCTCTGTTAACAAATCCTCTGGGAATGAAGTTGGCTGTGGAGGGCCCTTTCACCCCTCTAATTTTGCAAAAAAATCTTCAAAAATCATGCAAATCAATTAAAATGAATAAATTTTAAATGTTAAATGTTCTCTGTAAACACAACCGAGTGGATTTTGTTTACATTATCAGGAACCAATCAGCAAAGAGCTTTGTGAATCTCCCTCTTTCCTCTACTACCTGCCATTGCTTGAGCTCCTCGTGTTAGTAATGTAATAGTGTTTTTTGCTATTATATAGTGATTTATTAGCCCAATTATGTCATCCAAATGTCCATCTGGTACTAGTGGCTTTACTGGTTAAACTTTCAGTATAAATTCGTCCCTTTGGAAACAAAAATGCAAATAATAAGTAGTGATAACATAGTGCTAGCTCCAAGAGAAGTCAGTGGTGAGTGTTATTTTATTGGTTTATTATCTTATTTAATGTATTTTGAATATGTATTTCTTTTTTGTGCATATTTCATGTTTTCAGACACATTTTAACCTTATTTTGTTGTACTTAATGATGTTTTCCTATTGTACCCCCTTCTCTGAAGTCCTGGAGTGCATCCCTATATCTTCTATGTTCTATCTACCTCTGGTAATGAAGTTTCTGATAATGAAGTGACATCATGGAACTAATCTACTTCATTATCAGAGGTATTACTGTATAATTAATAGACCTTTCCAGATCATGTAATTTACAGGAAGTGCAACATTAGCATTCACTATTCTATGTTTTAAGCTGTTCTGTGTGAATATGGTAGTGATAAAGCTGAGTGAATATGCTCAGAATCTTTAAAACTATGCCAAAATGGCTTATGAAAATAAGTTGAGATAACCTTGTTTGGGTGATTCCATTGTTTTCAATCCACTTAATATTATTCCATATATGAAGTGGATGACTATTCATGCTGATGACTTGCCTGATCATGAATCAAAGTCCAAATATGATCAGTTCCAAGGTACTATGATATTTATAAGTATTTTGTTGAATCCACAAGAAGATAAACCCACAAAATTATGATATGCTATAGAAACTTGGATGTTTAAATTATTTACAGGATGGGTGTCAGATATTAAAGTAAAAGTGATTGTGACTTGCTAGGGTGAATTTGTTTTTTTGTAGCTTCTTCTTTTTTTATCTCCAATAGTCTCTAGTATGAGTATAAAACATGTTGTCACCATTATTGAGTAATATAGTATGTTACCTTTATGCCTTTTGGTCTACAGTACCCTGGCCTAATCTAATGACAGTACTAATATCATTGTATTTACAAACATTACTCTTTAGTGCCCACAGAAATGATATAAAGCCATTATCAAATGTCATTAATTTCAATAATTAATATGTGGTATATTACTTATACAATATTTAATAATAAAGTTTAAATTTATACAAATATTCCTTCATAGATTTTTTTTCCAATATTGTCATATTTTAAAAATAATATATATATATATATGTTCTTCTTTTTGCTAATTGTCAAAATAAATGGATTTTACATATATTTTTTAATAGTATAAATATATACTATGTTGTTGTTGGGCTTAGAATTCTTCTATGGTAGGTGTCTGTGACTTGTTAGTGATAAATTCAAAGATGAATAAACAACACACACTTTACTTGTTTTCAAGTAATATATATATATATTTGGAACAAGTTAAATGTATGTACAACAAAGTTTTCATACTATAGAAATTACAGGCATATCATAAACACTATTTATATATAGTTCTTTTCTTCTAGTCAAAAGTCCACTTTCAATTACTTTAGAATTTCAGTTGACAAGTTGAACTATCTTCTATATATTACTATCATACTAGTATTCTGTGTATCATTCACTTACAGTTGTGGTATAAGTTATTGTAAATCGTTTGGTCTTCTTTCTTCTGAAGATCCTCTGTTCCTTTTGTCAAAGAGTACCTAGGCTGATTCAATTACTTTAGAACCACGCTTTGAAGGAATAAAATTATACTTCTTATCTTTTTTTATACTGTTGGTTTCACTCTGACATATTAAATTTTAGACCTATGTCAATCATTAGGCCTATCACATCTATGGTACTTTATGCCAACTTTATTCTCTTTTCCTATTATCTGTTTGCTTCGGTCTGTTTGCTGCTTCCTGCTCGTCTCATGCTATTTATATCTTTATTACATAGTCGTCTGGCCACTTTCTATATTCTCAACATGAATTAGTTATTAACTAAGCCTTTTACAATCATCTGCTTTTAACTCTTATAATAATAAAACCTGAAAATATTCTCTCACAAATATAAATTAATCACTAATATTTAAATCAAGCAGTATTTTATATTATGACAGATATCTTTAACAAAGTGTGTACTACAGATACAAATATAGTGTTACAACAGCGGAAGTCGCACGATGCTGGGAGCGTGTGCGCTGGAGTTTCTAGAAGGATCGTGACTTAGCAGGCAACCTCACAAATGTCCCAGCGTTTGCTAGACGCCCTCTTTTTTAGTATATAAGCCAAAGATAGATTGAAGAGAAATAATGAGATAATCGAGTCAAGTGTTTGTACCGAGAAAGAATAAACTAGTTTTAATTAAGAAAGGACTTGTATCGCTGAAGTTTCTTGGAACAAATTTTTATGGGAAATTATCAAACAAGCAGATACGTAACAAATTTGTGTCAGAAGTGGGATAGAAAAAAAAAGAAAAAAAAGATGGAGACGAGAAGTGGCAAATCAAACTACAGCTTAGCAGATTTGATGGCAGCAATACAAGAACAGCAAAAGAAACGAGAAGTTCGAGAAAAGAACAAGAAGAAAGACAGCAGCAGTGGCAAGAAAACCTACAACAGTGGCAGCTCTAACAGCAAAATAAACAAGAGAGGCTACAGCAGTGGTTGGAGGAGAAAGAAAATAAACAAGAGAGACTACAGCAGTGGTTGGAGGAGAAAGAAAATAAACAAGAAGAATGAGAAAAGAAACAAGAAGAAAGTCTCCAACAATTGAGAAAAATCCAGCATACACAAATGGAAAAGATTAGTAAATTTCAAAGTGAATTAAATACATTAAAGGATGATTTATTGTTCTTTACACAGGGAGGATATATTAACCATGGACCTAACCAGCCTAACAAGAAAGAATAAACTAGTTTTAATTAAGAAAGGACTTGTATCGCTAAAGTTTCGCGGAAAGAATTTTTACAGGAAATTATCAAACAAGCAGATGCGTAACAATACTGTAAAAGTTGCTAATTTTGTCCTATAACTGCATCAACCCATATTCATTTTATTTTTGGGTCAGCTGAGAAATTTATAAAGACATATCTGGTTCTGAACCAAGTCTATTGGTGGAGCTCAAGTTTGTTTTCATTGCCTTGAATCTATGTGTGCTGCTGTCCAATGTGGCAGATGCTAGGATAAAAAAACAAGATCATATGATGTCATTACTTCATTCTTGAAATGTCTATTATGATTTTACTTCAATCTTTGCTGTTATCTATTTGTTTGCAAATGTGTTTGTATTTTTTTTTTTGAGGAGTTAGAATATTGGCCTGCTATGTTTCTGTCTTTCTATGTCATTGTTAACATTGTTTGCATTTTTTTAGAATTATTGGCTTCAACATTTTATGGTTCCTGCTTTATCCCTCTCTTCTTCCAATAAGGTTTTTTTCTTCAGGCACACATTTTTAGTACTTGCTTGAGTTCATGATCATTTACTTTGATTCAGGTATAGTTCAAAGACAAGACCTTTAAATATGTAGACTACGTTATAAGTTAATTCTTTGAAAAAACAAACTATTCAGTATCATGCTAACCTACTGTCAAATGTAACTAGTAAGAGCACTAGCATGCTGCAGAACAACTAATACAGCTTATACTAATTTTTCCCTGCCATTATCAATTAGATCTGGAAGTTCATTTTCCACAGTTGAACCAAGTTCCGAGACTAGCAACAAAACTTTTGGAAGCAGAAAATGGTTGGTGTTGAATGTGGTTGAGGAAATAGAATCATATATGGATTAATGTTTAGCCTAATCCAAATGTTTTATTTTTCTGTAGAATGATGATAAACTAATTTTTAAACTATGCACAGTTTTAAGTTCACAGTTAAAACTTCTTGAAAACTCTAACACTTAAAAAACTAGATAGAAATTAGTGTGTGTTTGAATTTGCTGGTTCATACTAGAAATGGTCACATGTTTTATCAATGGTATCAAACCTGCATTTCCACTTTCTCCAGTAAAATTAGCACTTGAAAACTTTAAGAAACACACGTGGTACTAAAATCCTAAGTAGTACCTATCTCTCTTTTTCAAGTTTTAAGTACTTTATACTTCAAATTGTACTTATAAACTTTTTCTTATGTATTTAAAGTTTAAGCTGTTGTATTCCAGGTTATCACATTACAATTACATGTACAAATCATTATAATTTCATCTAATTAGCACAAACAGTACATCTCACAAGAATAACATAATTTTATAATCTTATTTTTTACGTCCTGTGCCCTATTGATCTTACTTTGGTGTGCTGATTCTTCCTTAAGATGTTCGTGAATTGCAAACTGTGCTAGATATGTTACTAGATATCTTATGTTGATACAAAGGTTTAATAAAATAAAATTAAAAAATTAAATAAATTGGAATTTGTGGATATAAAATAAAGACCTCAAAATAATTAGTTTCTTGTATGCTTATGTTTGTTCATTGTATCTCCACAAAGACACCCTGTTTTCTATTGTTTCTTCTTCTTTCTTCCAAACACTTTTCAGTTGACTGCCATTCCTTCATTTCTTGGCAGATTGACTTGAAACTTGGTAGGGTTGTACCTTGATCCAATACACCTAGATGCCTTTTTCATTATTTTTATTTTGGCCTTTTTAAGAATTTTATGGAGTGAAAGGTCAAACAACCCAAAAATTTATATTTTGAGCTTCTGTGTGGTCATATTTATAACAGTCAAGATGAAAATTGTCACAAAAATAAATTTTCATGCACCCAACACATTGACATACAAAAAAATTGAGAATGGTTTAATATATAAAAGTTTTATCCAATTATGCAAAACAGATGTATTCAATCAAGGGTGTAAACATTTGTGAGAAATATACTAGTCTGATTTGAAATTTTACTAGCCAAAGTTTTTTATTTCATTAGGATGACTAAAGTATAACATTACAAATAAGTACATACCTGTATTCATTACAATGATTTCTTCTACAGTATTATAAGACTTAGAGATATTACAATTTGATGCAGTATATGTGATGCAGACATGAAATTTATAGGCAAGTTAACCAGTTTACGTATTTAGTAGACTGGTTATATTGAGGTATTTAAAATAAGATGATTTAATTCAGAATATATAAAAATGTAAAATCTCTGCTGAGGTTATACACTTTACATATACAACAGAATCTAAAGAACCATATTGTGATCCAACATTCAAAACACCTTGCCTTTTTCTATCGTACATACGAAAAATACTTTGGAATTCTGAGTTGGTGTACAAGGCATTTCACCCAAACACAGCTGTTTCATTTCATATCAATAAACCATTACATCAAAAAATAACTATAATCATGAAAAAAAAATCATGTAGATTTGAAAGTGTTATAAATATGAAACTAAGTAACTGGATATTTTAACTTGCAAGTCTGTAATTGAATCACGCACATATGTTTGTATATCAGGCTTACAATAGCTTAGCTTATTGTTAATGAATATGATGCCAATCTTAAAAGAATTTCAGTGACAGTACATATTTAACAGTTGTATCCCACAACTGCTGTATCCCCCGACTAGTATGTATGGAATTCACAGTAACCCAGACTCAAAATTCTTTAGTCATAGGCATCAGGGTAAATAATATTTAAAATTTGATTTTTAAATTTTAAAAAAGTTTTCTGATTCAGTAACAGTTTGAATAATATATAAAACATTTTTACATATTTAAACCTCTAATTTTAAATACTTACTATTCAAAAGCCAAAATATTGTTAAATACAGTAGTACTCATAACTTGTATGTTTTAATTATTAATATTACAAGTTACAGCTCAGTCTGTAAGTCATGTATGTACATATTTGTGTGATTTGTTGATAACTATGGTTTAAACCCTGGGCCAGCGGAGCATTTTTGTGTACAGTGAAATAAATATGAGTTTTTTCTGTATTTTAATATTAAGGTTAATATATAATTCCAAAGCTGACAAATCCTGAGTCAGTGGTGAAATATAACATTATTACTTTTCACCCATAACACATAACTAAATGAAACTCTAATTTATCGAAAAGAAAGTATCTTTATCATATGTAAGTTGATTTTGACCAAGAATATTGTTAGAAGAATAGTGTTACCTGGCCTAATGTGATGCCATTTTGAAAACTTGGGTCTTAAGCAGTGGTGGGATTCAAATATTTTAACAACAGGTTCTCTCACTAGCAGCATGAGAAAATAAAAATAGGCCATCACGGATAGTGTTAAAGATTCTTTAGAAACTGTCAATTAAAAAAGTGTTTTATAATCTTTCAACTTAACAAAATTCAAATCTTTATTAATTTCTTCCATATGTAATACGTTAAAAATATA